CCATTGGACTTCCCCTCTGCCCCTCAGAAATTAAGGGCACATACTCGGGTATGGGGCGCAGCGCACGAGCTGAAGCCGAAGCCCTTTGAGTAACCTCCCCCTTGAGCATGACCTTAACAGTCCATGGAAACATGTCCATCCTTGATGATCAAACCGAGAAACTCTACTTCTTTCTTCTCAAAGGAACATTTCTCTGGTTTGAGATAGAGGTCATTGTCCTGAAGTCTCTGTAGTACCTCGTGCACCACCTTCCGATGTTTCTCTACATCATCATTGGTGAAGACCAAGATGTCATCAATGTAGACTACAACAACCTTTCCTTCCTTGAGATCTTGGAAGATCTGGTCCATCATAGTTTGAAACATAGCAGGGGAGTTAGTCATGCCAAAGTACATTACAACTGGTTCATGATGTCCAAAAGGAGTTCTGAAGGTGGCCTTCCACTGGTCTCCTTCTTTCATCCTGATATTATTGTAACCCCATCGAACGTCCATTTTTGAAAAGAGTTTTGCACCTGGAGAGACAATTGATGAGATCCTGAGAATGAGGAAGAGGGTATGCATTTCAGATGGTTTTTTCATCCAACCTTCGATAGTCCATGACGGGTCTAAGCTTTCCATCTTTCTTGACAATGAAGAAGAAAGGAGCTGCTACTGGAGATTCGGAATCTCTCAGTCGTCCTAAATTGTATTCTTGTTTCAGCCACTTCTCACATGCTTTGTTTTCGATGGGTGACAGAGGATATGCTTTCACGTTGGGAGGAAGATCATTAGGGTCCTTGAGATCTACTTTATGATCCCACTTCTTAGACTCAGGGAATCGAGTAGATTCTTCTTCGGAGAAGACCTTAAGGTAGTCATGGAGCCACTCTGGCACCATCTCTTCTATGGGCTTCTTTTCCTTCTTCTTTTCCTCCTGTTGAGCTAACTCTGACACTACAGAGCTTTTGTATCTAATCCACACATTCTGTGGTGAATCCTCATCTTCGACCTCCTCGAATCTCAGGCACATTCTTGGTAGCTCCATGCCTAACATGTCCTCACAATTCATGCGACGAAGGCGAATAGTTGAAGCTTGTCGACTGAAATTGATGATGGATAGAGGCTTCCTCAATACCCTCATCTTCGTCATCTTCTGCTGGTATCAAGTCAGGCAATACCAAAGGGATTGAAGAGTTCGTGGCTCTTCGCTTCTTCGCCTTGGTCTTTTTGTCCTTGACCTTGGCTTCTTGACATTTAACCGGACAATGGTCTAATGCCACCTTTCCCGCATTCCAATTGACACTGGGATTGTGGTATTGTAGCCAATCTATCCCAATGATGACATCATCAGTTCCTAGATCTGTGATCAGAAAAGCTACTTCTTCCTTGTGATCCCCTATCGTGAGCTTCAAATCGGCGTAGCTTTTGATTGGTCCGGTGGAATTTTTAGTTCCATCGATATTGCGGACCAGGCAGTGCTCGCAACAACTGCTTGGTTTGGACTTGGTTCTTTTCTACAAACTTTTCACTGATGAAGAGGTTTGTTGCTCTGCAGTCTACTAGAGCATTGACGGCTGCTTTCCTTTGTTTTCCTTCCAACATAACTGGCAAGTAAAAATGCTCTCGTTTATTCCCAGAACAAACTTCTGATACTTCTGTAAACATAATTGCCAAGTCACTGAAAATGGAGAAACAATTCTTCTGATCTAAGTTCGCAGTCAACTTCAATCTATCTAAAAACCCTTCTTCTCTGGGTTATACATGGTGGAGAGGCAAATCCTCTCGTTAACGATGCAGTTAATATCTTCCAGTGTGAGCGGTTTCACAACTGGAACTTCTCCTTCCTTGATGGCATTGACAGCTGGTCCTTTGCCCTTGTCAAGGGGTTTTCCTGTGCAATTACAAGCCATATGCCCATCTTCTCCACAACGGTAGCACTTGAAATCACGTCCCGGTTGTCCTTGAGGTCAGGGTCTACCTCCTGTCCTGGTTGCATCAACGTCCATCGCATTTCCTCCTTGCAACATGGTCTTGGGTGCTACTGGTGCAGATGTTGCAGCACCTCTAGGTTCTGCCCGACTATGAGCGACTCCCTAATCAATCCCTCCAGAGTGTCTTTCCTATTAGGGTGGACATGGGCCAATTGGTTCCTAACCCATTGGTCTAGTCCAAAGCGGAGTTTGCACATTAATATTAAGGTCATGCTCAAGGGGGAGGTTACTCAAAGGGCTTCGGCTTCAGCTCGTGCGCTGTGCCCCTTACCCGAGTACATGCCCTTAATTTCCGAGGGGCAGAGGGGAAGTCCAACGGAAGTCCAGGGAGTTCTGGAGGACAAATGTCGGTGGAGTTCGGCGGAACTCCAGAACACTATGAGAGAACAGAGTAAGGCTACTATGGACAAGTCTGGAGTAGAAACAGAACAGAGGTTAGACTACCCTAAGGTAGAGCCAGAGAATTAGTCCTAAGGTTTAACCCCTAAGACTCGGAGGTAGACAAGAGATGAGACTCAAGTCCAGAGATGCAGGAATGAGCAGAACTAAGATGGAGAGTCAGAGGTATAGTCAAAGGAATCAATCCTAAGACCCGGAGATTGACAAGAGACAAGCTCAAGTTCGGAGGTACAGGAATGAGCAGGAACTAAGGTGATATTCGAACTGAGGAGTTCCGGAGTATTACAGGAGCTTATATACTGTAGATAACATGTAGGTAGATCAGTCAGCAAAGTAAGGGCTATGTACGAAGCATGTGGAAAGTCTATTAGTAAGCGTACACGGATCAAAGCAGTGAAGTTGGAAATGAAGTAAGAATGGACAGATCAGTAAGCATAGCGGAAAAGGACATAACCGGTAACCAGAGCAATAGCTATTCTAAAAGGAGTTAGGGGTGAGTGCGGAGATGAAGGCAGAGCACCGGATGGACAACAGGACAGAGAACTGGACTTTGGTAGGGGAGAATCCGGAATTCCGGATCCAGAGGTATGGGATATAGTGTCGGAGAAAATAGGGGTAGTGTCGGAGGAGCGGAATAGAGTCGGGCGGAGGTAGCAGGGCTAGTCCTGCTGAAATGCACTTCGTACATTGTCGGAGAAGGAGGGATGGAGCAGACGGGGAAACAGGGGGTCAGACTAGTGGTAGGGATGTTCACAAGTGGTATTGGAAGTGCTCGGATCCGGTATATGACAATTAACTCATAGTCGGAGAAATGACAGAAAGCAAGTTTCTGCCAGAAGATGGAAATGTATTCTGTGACGGTGCGGGTTCCTTTGCCAGAGAGTTTCTAACTCTCTTGCTGCCTTCTCCTCTTTATTGACGACGCTCCACATGACCTTCATGTCATTTTTGATGCTATCATAGGACCCGACCTTGCCGCTGAGAGCCATTGGTGTAATACTTTCTGCCCATTTTGCTGCAGGTCCTTGACAGAAAGAGACGAGGCATGTACACTTCTGTTGTTCTGTTCCTCCAGGGTAACCCGTGAAGTATATTGTGAGTTGGGTGAGGAAAGTGTCAACATCAATGGAGTTCTTTTCTCCCATGAAGTCCACTGGTTTCACCATTTTGAAATCAGAGCCTGAAGTCCCAGATATAGAGCCTGGGATCTTCATTGTAGATAAGTTCTGCAAATCCGTGATTGAGTTCTCTGCAAATGTCACCCTGATCCTCAGGTCTGTGTTCTCATCGTTCGTGTTCACCAAGCCGTCCCGAAGCTTGTCAATCTCCTTCTGCATTTGGTCTATCAAGTGTCTGGTGTAGTCCCTTTCTGCTACGACGACCGCATTGATTGCATCCGAAATGTCCCGGTGGGTGATGGTACTCGACCTGGGCCTGGAGATGCTGTGCGGTACAGAAGGGCCTTCGGTTGGGGTGGTGGATAATTCTACAGATGGGAATGGGTTGCGCCATCCCTGCAGTGCCGGAGAGTGGATTGCACCCCTGTTTGGAGTTGTTGCTCGCAGTATCGCTGGTGGAGCCATTGTCACTTCTATATCCTCTGAAGCGGCGATCCCAGTTTCTCCTAGATTCTCAGACATGGAAGAATGAACAGTTGTTTGCTAGACAGGAAGAATTGTCATGCAGCATGAGAGCTTTAGCCCTGACAAGATGGGATCTGTGTGGCGGGGCAATGATGACAAAGGTGCGAATGCATTGCGTGTAGCAGTTCATCAACCTAAGTAGAACTCGAGAGGAGTTCACGAAAGACATGGTGAACTTTTGGGTCTACTTTTAGCACCCTAGGTTCCTATCGTAATGTAACTAGACTGTGAGAGGACAGTCGCGAGTGCCATTCTGTTACGTAGAAAGCAGATATGTAGTGTACAGTTGGCAGGGTTTTGGGCCGAACTGTAGACGTACAGAAACAGGACCTAAGTGTCACTGATCCTTATAGACTGGCAGCTCGCTGAAGGCAAGGGCCTGGTCTACTTCTACTAAAGAGTAATGTAAAGAGATTGATATAACAAAACACGTCTGGGAAGATGTTTATTAAACATAATCCGCAAGATAAATCTCAGCAGAATAACACAGTGAAGTTTGTCGAGAATGGCGATGTCCAAGACAAAGTTCGAGTCAGAGTGGTAAGAAGACTTAACCTAATGTTATGACTAGCATTCACCGATTGGTAAAGACTAACACACAACCACCAGGACTCGGTCAAGAGGGATGATAATGAACAAGATAGATCTGAGCGTGAACATCTAGGTCTACCACCAGTGTGGAAACAAAGAGGTTAAGTCTAAGGAGTACTTACGCTAACTAACCTACTTATATACATAACATTGAATAGGAGATATCTGAGTATGAAAGAAATCAGCCAATGAGAAAAGAGTCGTACAATACTGCGGATGACTGAGCATGACATCATGATATATAAGCAATGAGTCAGACAGTAACTAAATAGAAGCCCAAGATCCGACCAGTACTTCTTTTGGAAGCAAGATTGTTCTAGCCCGTCGAGTTGGGGAACCAATCAGAGAAACAACAGGTGATATGTGAAGAGGTGAAGATGTGACGGGAAGTGAAGTCATGTGACCAATTTGGTAACTAGAAGTAGCTGAAGGAAAGCCAAGAAATGAAAAATGATTCGTATTTGGAATTCATGACAGACATCATGCAAGGCACCTTTGAATGCAGATGCAATGTACGCACACACAGATGCATTCCTGATAGCAGAATGCTCACTAAAGGCAGGTGCTTCATCGAACAATAGATCTTCTTCATCATCCTGTGGTAGGCAATCCTCATCCTCGTCAAAACCATTGCCCACATTAAATGCAGGGTCATCGACAATGTCTGCACCCTCATGAAGATCTTGCTCCTCATCAGAATTTTCATTATTTTCATCACCATCTTCCTCCTCGACAGCATCTTCTTGGGGCAGGAATGCCCGATAAGTGTTTTTGTCATCATACAAGCTGACATATGTGTCACCTTCCCTTCCATCACTGTCGTCAGCATCATTGTTGCCATTGTATTGATCATCTACTTCCATCCGGTACCCAAACTCAACATCATGCTGAGGTTCTTGCACATAGTTGTTGATAGCTGGGTCTGGAGGTAATTCAGGGGATCTCGTGTTTCTGCATGATGCAGGGATGGGGGAGCCCCACTGTTGGTCTGTCTCCCACATGCGCAGATGCTCTTGTTCACGCTGATCAGCATCTAGATGCCTTTAATGAGTTTTTCTTGACTGTTGGAGTTGACCACTGTCAGTTAAAGAGCAATGGCTACAGGAGCACCAAACAAGGGCTCTTGCCATTGTAGAAGCGCAGTGGGTGGTTTGAGTGCACAGCAATGTGTTGTGTCCGCCATCATTGTGAGAGAAGACAATGAGCACCCATGGCATATTGTGAGCGTGCAGAGCTCAACCTCGAGCTCGTGAGATCTAGACTTAGCAACTTTGAGAAATTGGCCATATGGATGGTTATATTCACAGAAAACAGGATGGATGCACTACATCACATTTATTTACTGATTACATGAGATTTTCCGGAAATAATAGCAGCCATTATTTTGCCTCAAAGTCCAGTGTCATCTGGAACTTGATGCAGAAGAATATGTGTGGTGGTGGCAAGAAGGATATTAATAAGCAGTGCAATATACCACGATATCTGCTGGCAGACTTCAGCTCGTTGCAAGCAAGTCTGATCACCTGGTTGAATGCAGTGAGTGGCATGGAGAGGCATCTGAGAATCAATGGGTTATTAGGGAAGAGCGGCCAATTAAACAACAGTTGCATAGGCCATAGGCCATCCATAGCTAGAGATGCACAGCAGGTAGCAGGGTATATACTGATAACAATTAATCTTACCGAGGATGTTTAGACTCCGCTTACATCCCGACACACTCGCGCCACACCACAATCCCACACGTACGCAAAACTTGTTCAAACATCGGTTGCCGAACTGGCTCTAAGGAGAAACCGGAGCAACGGTTAAACCATGGCGCATCTGATGGCACGTTCACTGGAAAAGCCGATCCAATCTCCCCACTTGCTTTGATGCATGTATCTTTTGCCTTACAGACTCCATACTCTCAACGTTTTTCTTATTGCGAGCTTTTCGGAATTGCCTCTCTGGGTCTTCTGATGCAAACTTCCTGGCCTCTACGACTACTAGTATGTCATCCATCTCACTCCGAAGTCTTGGTAACCACACCCAAGCGATAGCCATCTTCAGCCTGGCACCCCTTGCCGCCCCATACACTCGGCAGAAAGCCCCGGCACATCCACGATTGACATCAGCCTTATTTATGATCCTGCTCATGCCTTCCGTGACAGTAGCAAGGCCTCGTTTTTGCAGCTATATGAAGTTGTCTGGACGGTGGAGTCGGCCCTGCATGATCACAACTTTTCACAATTTCCAACAGGCTAAATTACGGAGCAACTTTCTAACAGTGTTATAATCAGTTAATTACCGGAATATTTAACACCTGTTTATAAACATCGACTTTCCAACCGTATCCTACGAAGTTCCGTCTTGTTGACCACGAACCTCCTGCGGGAGACCGCAACTTCAACGTTGCGCAGCAGTTTTGGGATCTATGAGGCCGTGCTGAGCTTCATCGATTCAAGGATGGTCATACTACGGAGAGTATTATTTGGCAAGTCACAATGTCCGATGAACGTGCACAAATTTGGCGAGGAATGCGAAGCCAAGGCCGCCCAGGAACTAGAGATTCATTCGTGCCCCACAACCCCGTCGTACCACACATCTCCCTTTAAGTACTTCTGGCACATGAACTTCTCATAATGTTCACAGTTCTTCTCGAGTCTGCGGAGATTGTCATGCACTTTGGCTGAACTGTTTTCGCCCACAGGAGGGCATCTCAACCACAAAGCGAGCAACTCCTTTATGTTCACACTGGAAGTTTCAGCCTATAAAACATCTGCTTGCTACTATGGCTTTGCCTCATTCCTTTCCACCTGACTCAATCATGTTTGCTTCCCGCTCCGTCATGTTTGCGCTGCTCAGCTTCCTTGCTGGCACCAATGCGTGTATACAGTGCCCAGCCACAGTGGGGGGCTCTAAACTATCCAGGTGCCACTATGGTGGACAACATAGTCCAGTGCACGTACGTCACACCCATACATCTTCATTGAAAAAAGTAACTCATAGGCTGGCAGGTACACTACATTGCATTGTTGGTTTAGATCCGTAAGTGCTTTCTAGATATCGTGCAGCTCGTCGTTCTCAGTTAACATGGTAGCGATGGTATCAGACCACCAGCAGCAAAATGGCAGGAGACCCGCCATGTCCGTCTTTCGCACTTATCAATTGGAGAAGCCCCCCGGAATATGGGAATTGTCCGAAATAACAGGACTCCACTGTAGACCCCAAAGAACAATAAATTTGATTTAAAGAAAGAATTAAAAAACTGTGAAGAGATGGGGGAGACGAGACACCCAACAAGAGGAGCAATGCTCGTCCGTTGGACTAGGGGTTCCAAGGGAGTAGGCCAGGGACAAGGTCGCTCCAGAGGTCTCAGAGGGTTTAGGGAGTGATATCGAATCATTCGGTAGCAGACTTTAAACAGTTCTGTGATGGAGTTGCAGATCGGTCCTGCATCTGAGCTGTGCATACTGCAGCCAGTGTTCTACATACACCTCGACCCAGATTGCATTCCTGCAGAGTCAACGCCAGCCACTACCACCGATATGGAGCTCGCCCGATGGTCACTTGTTGGGATCGTGAAAACCTTCAACAAAATTAATGACAATCCTGACATTGATTTGGAGGCAAAACAATATCTCATTTCCGCCTGGCACTGTGTCGCTCCCTGGTTTGTCTTCTTTCATAGCCAGTTTGTGATATGCAGAAGAAACTATAGACCGGTCGACAGGAAGTTCGCCATTGATCTAGTTGGCGATGTGCTGCGTTGTGGGTCTGTTGTGAACGACGGGAACACATCATTCCTCTCCACCACGCCCATCCTTTACCACCTGATTGTAGAGATGTGGATGCTAGCTCTCAAAACAAAAGACAAAAAGCGCTGTTCATCGCCTGGCGTCCATTGAATCATTTGCGCTATGGTCACCTCACTCCGCCACCTGAGTGTCACCATTAATCTTACTAATTAGTAATTGTATCACATGCCCCATCCTGTTACTAATTAGTAACAGATAGTATAATTCCCCTATACCAGCAATAATATTAGCAAACCAGCAGTCCCTTAGCAAAATCAAAGCACAGCTTATTTAATGCGCTGCCTTACAGTGCCTTACTACCCAAATAGGTATGAGCGGAAATGTCCGGATAGCGGCACTGATTTCCCGACACTACATTGCGCTTTCTCACGACTATGTTCTTAGCCGTGCTCATTGTGCTCAACGTTGAGCTCCCACATGTCGCTCATTTTCTACTCGATTTTCACCAGACGTTCTCTATTCTATTTTTCTATGCTACCGGCATCATATTCATATGGATTGTGCAGCTTCCCAGACCCACTGCCTTCAACCTTGTCATTGGGCATGACCACTGCGCTGTGGTTGAATTTTGTGAGTCCCCTTTCTTCAACTAGACAATTTCTTCTTCGTCTAGGCAATACAATATCATCTTCATATGGATTATGCAGGCCTTCCGGACCCACTGCCTTCAACATCGTCATTGGGCATGACCACTGCGCCGCGGTTGAATTTCGTGAGTCCCCTTCCATCAACTAAACAATTTCTTATTCATCTAGGCAGGACAATATCATCTTCATACGGATTGTGCGGCTTTCCAGACCCACTGCCTTCAACCTTGTCATTGGGCATGACCACTGCGCCGCGGTTGCATTTCATGAGTCCCCTTTTATCAACCAGACAATTTCTCATTCGTCTAGGCCAGGACAACATCATCTTCATACGGATCATGCGGCTTTCTCAACCCACTGCCTTCATCCTTGTCATTGGGCATGACTACTGCGCTGCGGTTGAAGTTCGTGAGTCCCATTCCATCAACTAGTCAATTTCTTATTCCTCTAGGCAGGACAATATCATCTTCATACGGATTGTGCGGCTTTCCGGACTCACTGCTTCAACCTTGTCACTTGGGCATGACCACTGCGCCGCAGGTTGAATTTCGTGAGTCACCTTTTATCAACTAGACAATTTCTTAGTCATCCAGGCAGCAATAGTCGTTTTCACATGAATACCGCAGCTTTCAGGAAATGTATATAAACAATATGTTGATCAAGCCTCCGGTGAATCTACCCCACTCTCTGACGAACTCGCGTTATCCTCATCTGTGTCTTCCACCATTTCTGTGCTTTTTGCTATGGAGGCCTTTTCTTGGCGCTTACGAGCCTTGTAGATTTGTTCACCGTGTGCCTGGCGTTGTTTATTCTTGGCAACGTGTTCCACGAGCTCATCATTTGTAAGCTTCGTCCACGAGCATGTTCCTTTGAAAAGTAAGTCATACAACTTGATCAAGTCTTCACGATGCCCAATCTTTCCAGGATTTTGAACAGTGCCCGGAAAATTTTCCAATGCGACGCCGTAAGTTTCTACAATCTTGCCTTCGTAATTATCATAATTCATTTGGACCTTCTTTTTCGGTGGGTGCTTCAAAGTGGGAAGAATGATATCTGTATGACTAATCTCAGGAAATGTACCTGGAAAGAATTATGGCTCAACATACCAAGTCCGTCCTGGATGAGCTGGCGGCATAGGCTAATGAGCTTTGTTAATGACAGTCGTCGGTTGACTGTGCCACCACTATCTACATGAAAGTTGAGTATGTCATGTTTATTGTATGCCTTTTGCTTACCAAAGTCTCCGACTACCCAGGACTTGACTTTGAGTGCAAAGCGCTTTGGTTCCATGCCGAGAACGTCCTTGATGAATGACCCGACCTTTGCTGTATAAAAGAGTTTGGGTTCGTGGTATTGCTCGACATCACCGCGAACTGCAATATACATTCCCTCGAGGCCTGTTCGCACTTGGATGCTAGCCCACTGTTCAACCACAAGTAAGTCACATTTCTATGTATTATTTTGTGCCAGTACCTCCATCTGCATTGTTTTGAATGTTGCATTCACGTCCTTTTGTAGTGTCTTAGGGTTTGCACAGTGTGACCTTCACACGTGACTGGCGATATGTGTTGATATTCTCCCGCAGGTGATTCTTGTCGGCTGATGTCAAATGCAAATAGGTCGACGTCAATTCTGAACTGTGGGCTTTGATAAATGCAGAAAGCTTGAATCGATCTCCCAGTGCACAGTCCTTTGATTTGTATCAGTATCAGCCCGAAAACTTTATTTGTTAGTACCTTCATTCTCCTCATCCAGTTTTTGTTTGACAAACGCATTCCAGGGATTAGGTCCGCATTTGTTGAAGATACCTCTGCTAATATAGAGCTGCCTTCGTGTCCACTTCAAGCTTCTGTTCAAGAGTAAGTACTATGATTTTTTGACGAAATAAGTGATCTTACTGTCCGTTGTCTTTGGCAATAGCACAGGCCTCCTCGTGATATGCATCTTGCGCCGTTGTAATGGCATTGCTGAGCTTGACTACTTTTGTGCGGCGGGCAGCCTTTTGGGTATCTGTTAGCTTTGCGCGGACGTGTTTGCCTTTTGATGTTGATGTGTTAACCATGGATAATGTGCTGTTGGAATTGCAGATAATTTTTAACCTTACTTAGATTTAAAGGAACATCTAGTTATACTTTGCAATATATATATATATATATTCACTTGGAAACAAAGCTCGAGTCTAGGTTGGAGCGGGTATTAAAGTTCACTACACACATCAAATTTTAGGCCCTGACGTCACACTGCTTTCAACATGTCTACTGACGACTTTGGTTGATCCTCACAATAATTCCCTGAATAAAACAACTGAGACACTCAGACCGGTATCGAGTAAAAAAAACTCACATTTTGTATGTAGACAACTGGCTGGTTATTTACGATGGTGTCATATGGTGGGGGAGGTGACATGTGTGCGGCTGTTCGGCACCTAGACGCTGAAGATCATCATATACAGAAAATGGTGATGGAAGGCTGGGCTGGTCCCACATGGGCTCACGGCGCCCACCACTGGCTTCTGCATCTTGTTCGGAAGCAAGGTCCTGCACAACCATAATTGAATCAGGCTTCAAATAAGAATTTCATTTAGCAAAGAACTCCTGGAAAGTTGCGAAAAAAAACTAATCATAGACGACACAGAAGATATAGAATCAGACGAATCTGACACATACATGGAGTCCAGGTCATGCGACTGGGTTGTAGTAGGGGTTGAAGAAGCTGGGATATTTGGTCGTGCTGGTGTGGGTCGCTGGCGAGTGGAGGGTATAGTGCGCTGACCAGCAGAGGGTATAGTGCGCTGAAGAGCGGAGGGTATAGTGCGCTGACGAGTAGTAGTTGTAGGTTGACGACGGGTGGGTGCTACAGTGGGTGTGGGCTGCTGGCAAGAACCAGGACCACTAGCAGAATGGTTTGGTGCTCAAGACGGAGTTCCGTGAGTGCGTTGATTTGTGAGAAGCCAAGTCTCGAAGTCAGGACGCTGCGAAACTTCAGCTAGCATTGCTGCACGTCTTGGAGTAGTGAGCATTGATATATTTCCACGAGTGGACCTCGGAGTGGCAGCAGGTTCCCTGAATAGCTGCAGGAAGGGGAGGAAATGGCAGTGAAGTGCGACTTCCATCCTGAAAGATGTTGTCTTGAGTTAAACCTTGAAAATAATAACAATCAGAATTTGACATGAGCCACAAAAGTTTGAGACACACCTGAAGTACTAGGCGCCTTTTTCCAACTACAATTGAAAACAGTCTTACGGACCCTGTCTGCAATCGAGGACGCAAAAATCTCCTCCAGCAAGTCTATTGTTGGGTCTAGATTGGCGTGGTCCAACTGCTGTTGCATGGTCCCCAATGGAGCAACTTTTCAAGTGGTGATGAGGACAGTGGGCTCGTTTAGCCCATCGCCAGGCAGTATTCTCGGCTGTCCAGGCCTATGATGATGAGCGGTCCCATGCGGCTCGAAAACAAATTGCGCCTGCAGTGTCACCACAATACTAGTTGTCTGAAATCCAAGTCAGTTTTCCAAAATAATTGATCAGAGTTGGCAACAAGATACTAGTAGTGCAGAACGCACATTTTTGTTACTGTTGCAGGCTAGATCAAGCCATTGGAAGCTTGCGATTGAGTTCTTGAACATCGGTATTGAAGATGGTAAGTCTTGAAGATGGTCAGTCTGCAGGACAATGGAGTTTTGAGAATGAAGCAAAAAATTAAGAGGCTCCGAGAGGAATGAATGATGGACTTAATATGCTGCGAATGTGGTCATGGCTGATACCCAGTAATACTAAGAATCGGCCAGATGCCCTCGGACGTGTTTGATTTGAGCTGATAAGGCTGTCCACACTGAATTCTGCACACAATATCTTGCATGCTGCGCAGCTCAGCATGTTCAACGAGTCTCGAGCAACATTGATTTTGTAATTTGTCGAAACTGAGGCTACCCGAAATCAATTTCCCATATGCATGACATCACAGCTTGAATGACACACTGCAGGCAGCACAACAATATCATGGTATTCACTTCTCTTCATTGTACCATCATCAGAACACGGACCATTGTTCTGACGACCACTCTGACAGTAAATCATCATTGCATAATAACGTGAGTTTGTTGCTTCACGGTACTTTGTATGATGCTGGAGACCCAAGTTACACTCTTGTGAGAACCCGCGATTATGCTTATGCACAACCAGCCCCAATTCCGGTCCCAGGACTACGTACTCCAACATCCACGCACATGTCCCAATACAAACTCATAAGCACACCCGCCAAATGACACAGAAGCTCGCTCCGTCCGAGTCACAACATATCTTCTGCACACACCGTTGCTCTAGCTTCAATCATGGAGTTTATGTTGGTTGCTTGGAAGCGGCCATCCCGAACTCATAAGCACACCTGCCGAATGACACAGAAGCTCGCTCCGTCACAACGTATCTTCTGCGCACACCGTTGCTCTAGCTTTAATGGAGTTTATGTTGGTTGCTTGGAAGCGGCCATCCCGAACTCGTAAGCACACCTGCTGAACAACACAGAAGCTCGCTCTGTCACAACGTATCTTCTGCGCACACCGTTGCTCTAGCTTCAATGGAGTTTACGTTGGTTGCTTGGAAGCGGCCTTCCCAATGTGGTAGATAGACACTGAATATATTTGGACAGAGCTATGGTAATACATGATTCTAAACAAGCCGCTTCATCACACAAGATATCGTCTTCATCTATTTCGATGGGCGCAGCACTCTGTAGCTCGTCAATTACTGCACCCATATCTGCATCATTAGAGGTCTCCAGCACACGAATATCACAAAAACCTGGTATTCATAATTCTGGAGCCAATGACATTGTTCGCGACACGCATCATGCAGGCAGGAATTCGTGGGCAAGGCAGGTTGATGCTTCCAAATGTGCGTGATGAGGTCTCGTCGCCATCGTTGAGGAGAATCCATTCGTCTTTGCGTGCAAAATTATCTTGAAGTACTTGCCTGCCACCTCTCTGTTGGCTTTTGAAGCCCAAGGTTTGGTTAAGATTTTCCCGACCGTGAGCTTTTGAGCAACTCAAATTTGCCAAGCATGCGTACAATGCAACTTCGCTAAACTTGAGAATGTCTCATGGAGGGGATTGCAGACACTGCGAGTTGGTTGTAGTGTTCCAGTGCATGGTGAATCGCACTCGAACGGCGAGTTATTGCATTGGATATCTGTTGGCGCATTTTATAACCTATTATAATCAGTAGATAGAAATGTATAGTGACGACACACATACCTGTACTAGCCAAGTTGGCCTTGGCAAGTTCGAACAGCCTTTGTACAACAAGTCCTTCGAGACGCTGGACTGCATGTACGAACCGATTGTTGTTCAAATATTCGAGCGGTTCTTGATATTCAGGATCACGTGGTGTCCAGCGCTCCGTAAGACCAAGCCGGTGCTCTAAGTCAAGCACTGCATTCATTTCGAGAGCAAGCTTACTGTGGGTGGCTCGGCGTTCAGCTTCACATGCTTTGGTTGCAGTTTGTGGACCTTTGCGTAGACCTGAGTTCTGTGTGAAATCGGCCAGCGCATATGAAAGAAATTGAACGGAAGTAATGCTACCATATTCGGCTCTATAAATATATCAGAAATGAATTATTAGGACATACAAGGCACCTACTCAGCCTTGGCCAACGACTGCAAGGCCTCGACGTATGCGATCTTCTCTGGATCGTACTCCAGTTCTGCAGCAAGAGCCTCCAGATATTGAAGTTCTTCGATGTTCCATTGCTCGAAATCAGCATCTGAAAGATCGAGCTGTTGTTTCAACTCCTGGACGACGGGCACGAGATCATTGATGATGTGAAGCGCCTGTTTATAGTTGTTGTACAGAAACTGACCTAGATAAGAAATAATGAGTTCATTCATTTTATGAAGTCGAGACTTGAGAAGTCGACCTACTGAGTTCTTGATAGCGATCTAGATCCCATTGATCAAATTGAAGGTCGATAAATTGCAGCCAATGAAAATATGATGCGTGCCGTATAAGTGGGGCAACAGCATTTGAACCTGCAAAGACACGCTCACAAGTCTCGAGATCTTCAATCCCCAGACCTTTCTGATAAAGCGTATGATACTGGAGTTGACAACGGCGGTTGTGAGCGTGCCCGTGAAAGGCATTGACAACGAAACGATGGTTGACCTTCTTGACTTTGTCAGCAACCGAACTTGCAGCAATTGTCTTGGAAAAAGAACACCCGATGTCATATCCGGTCACACCATTGGCTCCATACACGTCAATCAGTTTATTTGCTGTTGCTAGGGCATATTTCGCACTACATAAATACATATAATACTTTGAGCGAGTGAAATGAAAGATGAAAATTTGTACATACAGTTCACCGCTTCGGCGCAGTTCAACTAAAGTTTGAACAATACCATGGCGACATGCGCTAACAAAGACACCGGTCTGATCGAAGACGTTGGTGCTGTTTTCGGATGTCGTGTTCGCGACCCTCCAGTTTTCGGTACAAGTCGAATTGTTTGATGGAAGGACCTCATCCCCTGTGGTCGCTTGGGTCCCTGGGATGTTTGAGAGATGGACGTTGTCGCCTGTGGTCATTCGGGTCCCTGGGCGAAGGCGGACATCGTCTTTGAATAGATCCACCTCAGCAGCGGGGATAAGATATGTAGATGGGAAAGAACGTTCGTCGGCATGGCCAGAGCCGTTGACTCGTTTCAGCGAGTTGTTGCCATCAAAGGCATCAAGTCGTGCAGGATAAAGAGGGGGCTCATCAGGTTGCTGATATATACAGCATGGTAAGTATACTTGCAACAACTTTAAACTACGTACCTTGTAGTTGCACACTGGACATGCATGAAGCATACGCCAGTGTGGCGTGTCTCGACCTAGTGCTTGATCGACGAGCGTTCTCACCTCGCGCAAAATGGCAAGATATGTGTCGAACGCGATAGCGAACTGGTCGTGTAAGGACTGAAAATAAGTGCGCTACTCGAAGTCAGTGATTATTACCATAGACGCCAGAGACTTACATTGTGAAGAGAGCACAGTACCTTCACCATCCCCTGCACACTGAATGATGGCTTTCTCCGGCGTATTTGGTGGTAGAGCTCGAGGCAACCCAAAGATATTGCAAGTGTGGGTTGAAGAGGAGAGCAGCCGAGGTAGCCAGACTTCAAGAGTGATACATTGGCGAGTTCGTTGGGGGCTTGGTCGACAGATTTTTTGAGTACATTGCCTGTAGATACACTAAGTAGCGGTCAACATGGTGGAGCGGAACTCACTAATATCAACCATGGTGACGTGAAATGAAGTTGTTGGGGCTTGAGCGGACAGTAAACAAGGATTCTCCTTCCACAGTAAAAACGCCCGAGCAAGTGACGGCATTTGATCCTGCCATGCAGAATGCATTGCGCGATTGCGCATGAGGCAGCTGCAGGGGTGCACGTCGATGATGGCGTCTACCTTGAATGCTACAAAGAATTAGTTCGTAAGAAAATAAGAAAATACAGATGCGGGTAAACATACCTATTGAATATTTGCATTCTTGCAGCACTACCTGCATGCCGGTCATAGCCAGCGGCCAGAGATTGTGTCTCGCTACCCTCGTTCTCCTCTGTTGAGTCATCGCTATCAACGACATCACCATCCATAGCCACTCCTGCACCAATAACACCACCGAAGTCCATAATCGAGTCGCCGACATCGTCTGGGTACTTGTTTGCATAGATGGCGGCCTCGGCCAGGACTTCTCACGTGGCAGCACTGAGCTCTTCTGTCTGTTGTGAGTATTCAAAATGTAAGAAAGACGGATTACATACCTCGGTGACTCCCCAAGTTTTCACGTTCAAGTGCGAGTCTATCCACACGGACTTTGCTGAGATTGGCTCTCGATGTTCTTAAGGTGCCAGTATCTGTGATGATCGTTTCGTGAATGGTGCCAAAGGTAGAATTCAACTTGCATTTGCGGTTGGACATGGTGGTCGGGACCAAGGGAGTGTGAGAACAAGGACAGACCACGAGGATATGTCATGGGAAGTCGGACAGTATTAGTTAGACAATCCAGTAATATTGAGAGGTCGTGGAGCAGGTAATACCATGCCGGTAGCGTAGACAAATAGGATAGAGAACGTCTGGTGAAAATCGAGTAGAAAATGAGCGACATGTGGGAGCTCAACGTTGAGCACAACGAGCACGGCTAAGAACATAGTCGTGAGAAAGCGCAACGTAGTGTCGGGAAATCAGTGCCGCTATCCGGACATTTCCGCTCATACCTATTTGGGTAGTAAGGCACTGTAAGGCAGCCGCATTAAATAAGCCTGCTGCTTTGATTTTGCTAAGGGACTGCTGGTTTGCTAATATTATTGCTGGTATAGGGGAATTATACTATCTGTTACTAATTAGTAACAGGATGGGGCGTGTGATACAATTACTAATTAGTAAGATTAATGGTGACACTCAGGTGCACTCCGCTTGAACTTATGCTCCCCATTTTGGCTATAGGGTGCATGCACGACGAAGCTTTTATGACCATGGTACTCAAAGTATCACGTGACACCGGCGCTGTCGCTTCCACAGCTCTGAAGTATGTCAAGACTCAAGTTCATACGAGCAATGGCCCAAGACCCTGATATAGTATCAAGACTACCAACGTCAATGGAGCTGATTGCAGTAATATTTGCTTTCTTACTGTGTTAGATTTATGATGGAAATGAGCGAGCACAGCAATGCAATGCGGGAAGAATACATCCACCGATAATCCATCAAAGAAATCTTCTCAACTTGCCGTGTTATCCGGCTGCTACTTTATTCCACAGGGCATATGCATCATACCCTCGAATAACCACTCCCATGCAGTTTGGGATACCTCACTGTTCTCTGTGAACATGCCAATGTCACTATCTCAGTGCTACGTCAAGCTCTCCGCTCACATGCCTTTGAAACAACTATGTGTCCTTTGAGACCACTGGAGGAGGATCTTAATAAAAATATCATCACGACTTTTCTTCTGATATTATATGAATACCTTGTTCACGACACAATCTTGACCTACGCCTACAAACATGTGGACACCTGGTCTAATGCTCTCCAATCGATCGCGAGACAGGACGAAACCATCTGGGAGTGCTGGTCCGCGCTCGAGATGAAGATACAATTATATGTCAAACTCAGATCCAGGGAGGAAATGATGAGGCGGCCATCGCCAAATCAGAAGGCTTAGGATCCTACGAGTCAGTCACAGACTTCGTTGTTTCGTTCCTGCTGATCGGACAACTTATCTCCAAAATCAGTGTTGGTACTGCGGAAGACATTCAGCTTATGCAATGCGCGCGATGTGAGGTTGTGCGGTATTGCTCAAAGCAATGCCAGCGTGATTCCTGGTATGGTCACCACAGATGGAGCTGTAAAACCCCTCGCTTCGAATCTCAACAATCTTGATCAACGCTGAGCCAGATATCCCGCTCTTCGCGGCAGCTTCACAATCTTTGTTCAACGACACCGCTAGCCACCTTAAACCATGTCCGGTAAATATTCAGATGGCTCCGAGTCGGTCACTGTGTTTCCCTCTCCCAGCGACATCTCAGAAGACCCGGCGAAGATTCAACCCACCTTCTACCCTGCACAAGGAGATCGAAAATCAGCTCCCAGAACTTCCTGACGACCGGAAACCACCATCCCAGCCCTGCGCTCGGCGTTTCTTCACTGTTGTCTGCCGGTTGATTCTCGAAAACCACTGATGTGCGTGAAATTCTTGTTGTTCGTCGGTTTGCGTGTACTTGTTCGTTGATCGTCTGTATTACTATATTGCCATTGGGACAGGGTAATGGCACAACCATGAACTGAGCCAGTGAGTTGGAATGGCTAGGAACACCATGGGCCTTCAACACCTTGCCAATTTGGTCTTAGTTATGACCATTCTCCGACAGACCGGTGCCACAGAACAACAACTTGGTTTTACGAGCATGTCTATGTACATTGTAAAACAGCCAAGTACACGTGTGTATCGTAGAGTAGACGCCAGCCCGTTAGTAGACAAAAATAAATAGGCGATGAATGCGCGACTGCTCCCTCGAGGCCTCACAACTAAAGCTGGTCATTCTCCATCAGCACTTCATCCACATCCTTCTGCGTGTCCGCATTGTCTTCTCTGATAGCAACCTTCACGTCCCATTCCTTGGTACCAACTTCTCCCCCAATGCGATGCCACATCGCGACCATCCTGGAGCGCCTCTCCTCACAGAGCTTCACGAGCGCTTCCCAATACATGGCATGGGAATATACAAACTGCTGGGAGCCATTCCAACCCTCCTGGATAAGCTGCTCCGGCTCGAATACCCGTGATGTGGCACTGCCAGCACTCCAAGCTTCAGTATCCGCAACCGTCCGGAAGACTCCATTCTCGTTGATGACAGGATTGAAGACCAACTTTTGCCGAGTGAAAGAATCCATGAAAGGCATGATTAATTTGAAAAATGCATTCAAAAACCAGGGAAGATGTGCAACCAGCGCAAGGCCGAGGCGTTCTGGATAGTGCGTTTGAATGATATCGAGCACTGTGCGGACCAGGCCAAATGATGGGTTCCCGGTGTTGTCTGCATAATCTGCCAGTATCGCAAGGGTCCTAGATAGCGCGACTCAGGTTCCGAAAAATGGAATATGTAAAAGGTATTTACTCAACACCTGGTCCCATAAGATCAATGGAGCGTTCGAGCATCCAGATAATGTACTGAGCTGTACGGGGTGACTCTTCGACACTCATCTTCGAAGGGCTCACATAGGCGGCAGGTCGACCGTGAGTGTCGTAGCCGAAGATAAACCCTTTGCCGATCGTTGCCTTAATCATTTGCATTAAACGTGAGCGTTTGAACTTGAAAAAATTTGCTTCCTCGTACCTCTGGTTCGACATGTTCAGCAGTGATTTTGTCATAGATCCCGAAATCACGTCTCCACTTGAGAGTATCTTCCAAGCGCTTGATGGCCGCATTTGTATCCCAGTTGGTCGCACGTAGATATCTCAGAAGACATTCGTATGACTGTTAGTCACCATTGGACAAGGCAGCGCGGGTCAACCAAATGCACAAAATCGAAGAGTGCGATGAGAAGTTGCACCGACCAACCAAAACTTTTCTTCCACTGTCAGTGCAGCCTTCTCCTGGTCGATATCTCGAAGGGTATAGTCTGCGGCAGAGAAATGCTCAAGGACACGATCATATAAAATCTGCTGCTTCTCGGCAAGTGCTGAAGGTGGTGCAGCCTCATGTAGGTGAGCCGGGACAGGGAGGGGGACGTAAATCGGCATTGCAGTCGTTGAACAGAGCTCTCCTCGGGTGTCCTAGTTTCATATTATGTATGTACACGTTAGTTATTGTGATCCAAATCCTTTTCGGGAGCATAAAGCAAGGTAGAGCCGGGAATTCCCATTGGCACCATCACGTCCCTGTTGCACGCTTATGTGGGCAGATTTGCGAGGTTTTCCAGGTTTTTCCATTCGAATTTCCATTTAAATATGTCACATTATCAAGTGTATGTATGGTCAAAGGCTTCGATCGACCAATCTTATCAACTCCCAGCAGTTTTGAAGGCGACTAAAAGGATAACTCTATTCTAACTTGTGGTCCTGGCGTCCAACCCTCCACAGAAACTTATATAGATTCAGTTGGCATCAGCGCGTCAGTAAATCAAGCAAATAAGCAATGAATGGTTAACCCCTCCCTCATGATCAAAGCTCTCCATTCTCCGTCACGTGTTCATCGTCTCGTCCCTGACTGCAACCTTAACTTCCCACTCTTTAGTACCAACCTTTCCCCCAATGCGATGCCACGCCGCAACCATCCTGGAGCGCCTCTCCTCACATAGCTTCACTAGTGCTTCCCAGTAGACGGCATGGGAATACGTAAACGGCTGGGAGCCGTTCCAACCCTCCTGCACAAGCTGGCCCGGCTCGAATACCCGTGAGGTTGATGCACTGTCGGCGCTCCAGGCTTCAGCATCCGCGGCTGCGCGAAAAAGACCGTTCTCGTTGATGACAGGGTTGAAGACTATCTTCAGCCGAGTGAGGGGATCAATGAATGACGTGATCAGTTTATAGAACGCGTGCAAAAGCCATGGAAGATGTGCAATGAGCGCCAGGCCGAGGCGTTCTGGATAGTGTGTCTGCAGGATGTTGATCACTGTGCGGGTCGTACCAATTGGTAGGTTTTTGGACTTGTCTGCATAATTTATCATCAGCGCAAGAGTCCTATATAACGCTAAATAAGTTCCGACATGCATGGCGTAGGACAGCACTTACTCAACACCTGGACCCATAAGGTCGATAGCGCGTTCGAGTATCCAGACGACGTAATGGATTTGACGGGGTGACTCCTCGGTATTCCGCTTTGAAGGGCACATATAGAGGGCAGGTCGACCGTGAGTATCGTAGCCAAAGAGAAACTCTTTGCCTGTCGTCCCCTTCATCACTATTAATGAACGGGTGAACTTGCAAAAATTGGGTTCCTCGCACCTCTGGTTCGACATGTTCAGGAGTGATTTTGTCGTAAATCCCGAAATCGCGTCTCCACTTGAGCGTGTCTTCCAAACGTTTGATGGCCTCATTCGCATCCCACTTCGTAGCACGTAAATATCTGAGAAGACATTCATATGACTGTTGACCAAGATAAAGACAGGTCAGACAAATGCATTAAAAGTGTGATGAGAAGGTGCCCGACCAGCCAAAACTTTTCATCCACCATCAGTGCCGATTTCTTTTGGGTGATACCTGGAAGCCTATATTCTGCAGCAGAGAAGTGCTCGAGGACAAGGTCATATAAAGTTTGCTCCTTCTCGGAAAGTGCTGGAGGTGAAGCCTGCTCTGGGTGTGTCGGGACTGGGACTGGGACGTGAATCGACATCGCAGGCGTCCAACAGAGCTAGCCTAGCAGTATCTTTGGTGGTGGGCGACTAACTTGAAGCTACCCAGGCATCGTGTTTGTGATTTTAGACATTAGCTCGTGTGATCGCGAGCTTGTTCGGGAGCCTCAAGCTCAAGGCCAGCCTCAAGCGCCAAGCACTCACAGTCGAGAACAATCGAGAGCAGATTCGCGTGGGTCAAGTTCTAGTCTCCGTAGTCAGACCTTGAAATTAAATAAATGAGACAGCTGTTCCTTCTTTTTCAAGCGGATCTTCTTTTTCTCATGCACAGATGACCTTATGATCAAATGTTGCAGGGTCTTCGACCAGTTACCAATCTTACTTACATAACGCCCAGGAGTTGTAAGCAAATTACAAGGATAGCTTTTCCAACTTGTTATCTTGGCATATTTACATCTTCAACCAACCTTCCATCGAAACTTGGTATAGATTCAGTCGACAATCGCATCATGTAAAACAGGCAAACAGGTAAATGAGTGGTTGACTGCTCCCTCATGACTGAAGCTGGTCATTATCTGTCTTCTCCGCATCCACCTGCGCGTTCATCGTCTTGTCCCTGACAGCAACCTTCACTTCCCACTCCTTAGTACCAACCTTCCCTCCAATGCGATGCCACGCCGCGACCATCAGAGACCGCCTCTCAGCGCATAGCTTCACAAGCGCTTCCCAATACACGGCATGGGAATACTTAAACGGCTGGGTGCCATTCCAACTCTCTTGCACAAGCTGCTCCGGCTCGAATACCCGTGATACACTGCCGGCATTCCAGGCTTCAGCGTCCATAGCCGTCCGAAAAAGACCATTTTCGTTGATGACAGGGTTGAAGACCATTTTCAGTCGAGTGAGGGGATCAATGAACGGCGTGATTAGTTTATAGAATGCGTGCAAAAGCCACGGAAGATGTGCAATTAGCGCGAGGCCGAGGCGTTCTGGATAGTGTGTCTGGAGAATATTGAGCACTGTACGGGCCGTGCTGATTGATGGGTTTTTGGCTTTGTCTGCATAATCTATCATCAACGCAAGGGTCCTAGATAGCGCCGAAATAAATCCAAAAACCATGTAGCGCGTAGAAGGACACTTACTCGACACCTGGACCCATAAGGTCGATGGCGCGTTCGAGCATCCAGAAAGTATAATGGATTTGACGGGGTGACTCCTCAGTATTCTGCTTTGAGGGGCACATATAGAGAGCAGGTCGACCATGAGTATCGTAGCCAAAGATGAATTCTTTGCCAGTCGTTGCCTTCAAATAAGTTGTATTGAATGGATGAACTTGTAAGAATTCGCTTCCTCATACCTCTGGTTCGACGTGTTCGGGAGTAATCTGGTCGTAAATCCCGAATTCACGTCTCCACTTGAGCGTGTCTTCCAAGCGTTTGATAGCCTCATCCGCATCCCACTTTGTAGCCCGTAGATATCTCAGAAGACATTCATACGACTGTTAGTCAATATAACGCGGGTCAACCAATGCGCAAATCGAAAGAGGGTGATGAGAAGGTGCACCGACCAGCCAAAACTTTTCATCCATTGTCAGTGCAGCCTTCTCCTGGGCGACATCTGGAAGTGTATATCCTGCGGCAGAGAAGTGTTCAAGGACAAGGTCGTATAAAGTCTGTTCCTTTTCGGAAAGAGCTGGAGGGGGCGAAGCCTCAGGTTGAGTTGGGAGTGGGAGTGGGACGTGGATCGACATTGTAGGCGTCAATGAGAGCTGTTCTGGGGTATCCTAGGTATCTTTGATGACGGTCATTAACTTGACCATAGCTAGGCATCGTTTCGTGATATTAACTTATCATAAAATTAGTTTTAGTGATCGCCGCTCCGAGCTTTTTCGGGAGCGTCAAGTACTAGTCGAGAGCGCTTGTGCCAAGTACTTAGTGAGCAGATTCGCGTGGTTTTCTTTTCCTCGTGGCCTCATGATCAGGTGTTGCAGGGTTCTGGAAAGGCGTCAATCTATCTTATCAACTCCCAGGACTCTCAGGCTGATTATAAGGATAGCTCTATCTTCCAACTTGTTTTCACGGCCTACGTCTTCGTCCACCACTCCCTTGAAACCTGCAGCAATGTATTCTCCCATCAAGCCCTACGAGTCTGGTTTTTTCCCGGGTGTGAATTCAGAGAAACATAAACTTTAGTATGTCTTATGATCATTTGTCGTAACATTGATGGTAATCGTTGAGAAGTTATGAGGTGAGTGGGAACAAGGAAGGCGATCCAGGTACATGTTCCGATGTTCTATGCAGTTCAGATCTAGGTTATTAACTGTTGATTAGTCGTCTTTCTCCACGGCGGTCCGGGGGGAGGGACAGATGCGAAGGATAGGCAATTCTTTAATCCTGAGAAATACAAGGCAAGTAACAGTCGTGTGGTGTTGCGCATCTTCGTATCGTCATATGAATTATACTTTCTCGATGCCATAGATTGTCCTGTTTGATCAACGGGGTGCAGGAAAGTCCATCCCGTAAGTCCTATCGATTCCTTGCCATCGCACATGCATAAAATTATGTAGGAGCGCGGAATTGGAGAACAACACTACGTGGGACCTCGTGAAAGACATCGAGGCTCTTCGGCAGAAGCTAGGTGTTGCGAAATGGCACGTATTTGGTGGTAGCTGGGTTCGTGCCACTTCTCTCTACTTCTAGACTTCACCACTGACGCAGATGTGCAGGGCTCTACGCTCTCCCTTGCATATGCAGAGGTTTGCGATCGACTTTCTTCTATTAAATGTTTCGTCTAAGCAGTTGATTCGTTACACAGACCCATCCAGACCGAGTCAAATCGCTCGTTCTCCGGTGAGTTTCGATGATCTTGGACACATCGGGCGATTCTAAACTACCAATTCTTACGAAGCGGAATATTCACCCTAAGACCAAGGTACGAGTCACTTAATAACTCAAATTAGAGCATACCAATAGCTCCACCCCTTCCAGCGAACTACGATTCTTCTATCAAGATGGCGCTTCCCATCTCTTCCCCGAACAATGGTAAATTTGACATAGTAATAACGAGCCTTCATTGCGGGGGGTGACCCAATCGTACAGGGACGAATACCTAGCTCCGATTCCAGAGGCTGAACGGCATGACATGATGAAGGCGTATCACAGCCGCTTGAACTCTTCGGATGCAAAGATCAGTCTAGCCGCTGCAAAGGCCTGGGCGAAGTGGGAGTAAGTGAATGATTCCCTCCGTTGAACCTATGCCTGGTGTTGATACCATGTTTCAAGGATGGCTACATCAAGGTTGATTGTGGACGCAGCGGCTATCGCCCACGCGGAGGAAGATGGCTTTGCAACGTACGTGAATTCGTGGCGGGTTCAATTTTCTGCTGAGTCGACGTTCAGTGCATTTGCGCGGATTGAAAACCACTATTTCATCAATGAGGTTTGTCTCTCAGACAGTTGGTTTGATTATACTTTACCGCGATAACTATGCAGGGCTTCATGCGCGATGGCCAACTGCTCGAAAAGCAGGAAATCGATAAGATGTGTGTGAAATTTCCACCCGTCCTTGGTCCCTTCTCATGGCCCTTAGCCGTCACATTCCAACTATCGTGGTTCAAGGAAGATACGATGTCGTATGTCCCGTATGCCGATTTTTGATACCTCTAGAAACACCCGTACTGACACGCATGCACTCCCAGGCGACCACTGCGTGGGCACTGAAACGCGCTTGGCCAGAAATTACTCTGCACATCATTCCAGATGCAGGGCACTCTTCGCGCGAGCCTGGCATCGAGAAGAAGCTTGTAGAGGCGGCGGACACAATGGCTTCCAAGGGTTTGTAGGAATGCGAGACTTTGTGGTCGGAACAAAGGGACCCTGAAGTACGAAACTATATGATGTAAGATATTGAATACATACCTCCCCAAGGGTGCGCCGCGACACCCTTGGTTGATCCATAGTCTTCGGGTTCGTAATCATGAACTGTTGGGCTGCATCTGATGCACCGGAGAGGCGCGCAAGATACAGTCCCGTCACGAGAAAGCTACATATATAGTAATATTATATCTCGCACTCGATATCATCGAGTCGTCCTCGATGTCCGTTCGCAGGTGGAAGGCGAAGGCGGGTCCAGCTCGGCAAATCCCGCACCTTCTTAGAACGAGCTTGTACTGTGCCACACTGGTGTGGCATAATTAATGCTCCCCCCAGGTACTCGCTGGTAGTATATCTTGCCCTCAATATCATCGAGCTGTTCTCGAGTACATTCTTGACTTCAATACTACTGCGTCACTCGAATTGACGCGAAACATGCAGGTGTCGTGAAGGAATCACTCGAAGCTCTGTCTATGCGCAATATATGTGCCAACATTGTCGTCGCTGAGGCTCTTCTTCATTCCACATCGCACAACGAGCCCGTAACGCCTGGACCGAGAACATCCTTTGGAACAGGAATCTTTTTCTTGGCTATCGAGAGATACCTACATCTCCCGAAGGGCGATACCGCCGCCGAGCTCAATTTTCGTAACTTTCGTTGGTGACAATATGTACGAGGGCCGAGGCATGCAATCCGCCATACATTCCATTTACAAGGCACCGCTACTTGAGCTCGATCATGTATCCAAAACTATGATGCATCAACTGCTTGATGGAATTAGTGCAGTGCGCTTCGCATTGGTTTGCATCAGAGTCGCACTGCCTCATTATATTTTTCCCAGCGTTGTGTCAGCCTGTCTTATCATTACATCAGGATTCAGGGCGCGAGCTTTTCAACATTGTAGCTGCGGTAGTATGGCTGACAGGAGGCGTAGTAGGCGAATTGGAGACAGTAGCCTGTGATTGCGAAGATGGCTGAGCCTGAGTTGCTGTGACGGATTAGTAACATCACTCTTTGGAGGCCGTGAGCTGCCTGCGGTGAGTACAATCTTTCGAGTGCAATGGATTTGCCCTTCGTTTCTCTCTCGCTGAAGCATTCCTTTGAACAATATCAAGTGGAGTTGAATGTCTAATGAGGAGAAAACTTTGCCCTGTGTATACGGGACCTCAACAACTGTTGGGCGATGCCCGTGTAACTCGATGCATTTGCCACTTCCTCTGCGCCATGTCAAAAGGTTTCGAGCACAGTCAAGAGCGGGATACTTACACCGTAGTTGGCGCGACGGAATAAGTAACCGGTCAAGAAGCGCGTGTCTATTGACATGCAGTGCTGAAGATAGACCGGCACGGTGGTGGTCATATTCCCGGCACGGCTTTATTTTCTTTTTCGTTAAGCGGTGACCCTGACTCAAACTTCCAAAACTAGCAGACCTTGATAAAGAAGAGAACGACTGTCAGTCAGTACTCTTTCTTTCTTAAAGGTCTGACTACGGGAGACTAAACCTCGAGGCCACATGCACTGCGTTTCCAATCGCTAAAACAAGTACCACTCTGACTGGCAGGACGTGACAACGACCATCTTACGCATGCAGTGGGAGATGGACGCGCAACCACGCTCCACTCAGGCTTTCCCTCCGGACATATTCAGTACGAGCAATTTTAATGCACAGCGCCGTCACGGCCCTCCTCGTCCGGCCGCGCAACATCCATACGTGATACCTGGGAGTAAGCGATCAGCACAGAGACTGCCTATCTTCCCAGAACTAAAAAACCTATCGCATCCGTGAGTAATGTCAGCGTGTTGTTGAAGCCTCCCATTTACATGCATGCTAGTAATAGATTGCCCGCTACTGCTGGTCGAGTTCTGCAGCACGGTAGAGCATCTCAGAAACCCTGGCCGCAGTCAGCCATTCCCGCGCCAAGTTTTGGAACAAACCCTACGGTTCGCGGTCTCTCGACGGCCGATCTGCGAAGATTACCCTGTCCTCTCACACATCAATCATCCCTACTTGCCACTCCCAATGCCGCTCCATCCACTCAGCAAATCCCTCCAATCCTCATCCCAGACTTAACTGGGCTTATCACCCGATGTGGCCAAGACCCCGTTGCCGGCGGTGCATACGGAAATATTTATAAATGTATATACCATGGTCCAGAGGGAAATGTAGACGTTCGTGGATTTTACTGTTTTTCCATGTTCACTAACATACCACTCGGGCGCAGGTCGCTGTCAAAGCAATTCGACCGCAATTCTTCAGTGCTGAGGTAATGCTCTATGGCATGGAACAGACGGATTTGATTCAGCTTTCTTAGGTGTTTCGAAGAGAACTCGGGATTTGGAAGAGGTTGCAACATTCTAATATTTTGAAGTTCATGGGTACTACTGGAGATTTTGGCTCCTCTGTGGCTCTGGTGGCTCCGTGGATAGTCAACGGCACTCTGACGTCGTTCCTCAACGAGAACAACGAGACCCTCACACTGCATGATCGCCTTCTTCTGGTGAGAACTCCAAGCATGCTCCCGGTCTACGCCCCCGAGCTCATCGTTTCGTGCCAAAGCTCCGTGACATAGTCGCTGGCCTCATTTATCGTGAGTGAACACAGCCATGCACATAGCAAGCATAAATAACCATCTCCCTCAGTCCATACGTTTACCTTCACTGTAGACGGACAGACGTTCTTTAATCCAGTCGTTCACGGAGACCTCACTGGTGTAAGGTCACTCATTTGTTCTATCCACCATACTAACGATCAACTGCAAGACCAATGTCCTCATCAGTAGCGATGGAACTGCATATCTTGCAGATTTTGGCCTTTCGGGAACCTTAACAAAATCGCCCGGTATGACGTATCTCGCGAAGATGAGCTGTCATCCAGGAGCAATGCGGTGGACAGCTCCTGAGCTTCTTTCTGGGGAAGACTCAGCTTCTGCGATCACCACTCAGAGTGACATGTACTCCTTTGGTAGCATCATGCTTCAAGTATGTAAGCCGTTTCCTTTTATTAATGCAGCTTACTAATTCGCCCTACAGGTTTTGACTGGAAGTGTCCCTTGGCAACACTTGACGAATGACACCGCGATCTTGCTAAAAGTGATTGAAGGAGAAATACATCCCCGTCCAGACAACCGTTGTGTCACCGACCAGTGCTGGAACTTAATGACTCGTTGCTGGTCTAAGTCACCCATCGATCGGCCTTCTGCTGAAGAAGTACTTCAATTTGTTAACAGCGAGCTCGCTTTGTACATTTGTGGTGATGCGAACGGTGGCGGACAGCACCCTGCCTTGGTTCCCGTTCCTAGAAATGCGCCTCCACTTGTTGGTCCGTCCCCTTCATTACCAACGCACCATGCAGAGAGCGAGAATTATAGCGTCATATCCTCTGGACACCTCTTACCCGCCCCCGATACCATGATACACAGTACCCCAACGTCGTCTATATCCAGCGACAAGAAACGCCCGAATATAGCACCCCTGCATGTCTCATCACCATATCGCCATCCCAACCTTCACACCCCCGTTGTATTTTCGGCCATGCGCCAGTGGGACGCTCATTCCGCCGAGCCTCGTGGAGGTGCTTTGCGCCCGTCTCCTTCGCAGAGCAGTCCTCTTCCAAATGGCAATTATGAACCATCACAATATAATACAGACGCTACACGATACCGCAGGTCTCCAGAAGGATATTCAGCCCTTTTCACCACCCCGCCTACCTACTACATTCCCTCCTTCTGAACTACCATTCCTGGGGCTTGATTACATTCGCAACTACGGTTCTTCAGTCGGCTGTCGACCCAAATTCTATCTGGCAGACTTTTGACGCTGGTGCATTTGGGTTCGACCCTGAATTACCCTTTACCCTTGGTGATGCTTCATCAGAGATCCTCGCCACCGCCTTAGAGCCTTTACAGGACGCTTGCTAATTGTGTTTTCTTAGTCAAAATTTACTTTTACCTCCTTTCCATCTATCGTAAACGATACGCAGTTCGGTGGTTGACTATATGCGGTGACTATATCACGGAGACCGTGACGGGCTAAGTTAGTGATCGGAGTCTTCTTTTCTCCTACATGCCCTCGTTGATCTAGGAACGACATCATATGTTCACCACATATCAATCATGATGATGATGTGAACATAGCACTAAGTACCGGCACTAGTTCCCCACAGTTGCACCAAGTGCCAAGTTGAAACCATCTAAAGGGTTTCGCAATCAACCAAGTCCGAACCCGAATACCAGACAAAGTCAAAATCATTTTGAGTTTGTCAAGTCTAACTGAGTGCTTGGCTACTTCGTGTTGGCTCCTTTCAGAGTTCGTACGAAGTAAGACTCTAGCTGCCGGTGTAATTAGGTCCGTACTAAACTACGACCAAGTTATCAATATCATACCATGTAACGACAGCCAGTATCACATCGCTGATCCACTCCTCATCTTCCCTCCGGTCATGGTCAGCGTCATTAACAAGCTGAGAGGCAGCAATTGGACCCATATCTTTTTTTACATTAATAGTACATCCTGAGTGGGTTTACTACACGGAGACCTCCAATGATCCTGACGGCAAGTCTTCCTCCAACATAGACTGTACGAATTTTGGCAGCGATTCTGCCATGTGTAAATTGATCTTCCAAAGGTTCACCAGTTGTCGAAATGATGTTGCTACTTTCTGCCACTGAAGATCATGGGAAACACCGGGCGTTTGATACGAGGTGATCTCAACTAGATTGGGAAATACCACAGCCAGGACGAACGCGGGAAGTGCCGCTGTCGACACCTTCGAGTGTCCGACCTGCAGGTTTCGGAGAGCTGTTTGCTTGAGCCAAAAATGCTGGTTTCCGTCCGGTGCGTCTTCGTTCTCCCTGCCATGGGGGAGTGCCGGCCTTTGGGTGGCGTCGAAAGTTAAATGTAGGACACGCAGCGATCTACATCGCGAGGCTAATGAAAGCACGGCGGCGAAGGTGACCGTGGATGTGACTGTTTCCTTGGAGGCAAACCGCAAATCGTGAATATCTGGCCAAGCAACTGCAGCATCCTCGATGAAAGCATCATCAAGACAGTATTTTCCTATGCCTATGAACTTGGCAGTCTTCAGCCCTCTAAACTTAAGCAAGGGCCGGAAAAGGTGGGAAGAAAGTGGGCTATAGAGGTTGAGGTCCTGATACAGGGGGCGATTATAGCTTTGAATAGAGATCTCTTCGAGTTCAAAGGATTGGCAAGACGCATGGAGGGATAGTACGAAACTTTCCGACTTCTGCCGGTGTAGCATATTTAGTGTACTTGATGCCAATGCTTGATAAGTGTGGGGTGATAACGCGAAGAAGGAAGGATGTGCAAAGTTGCATGCGATCAGCAACGAGCCCGAGGCGGTTGAGGGCGCTCAATTCAACTGGCGTATCCGTCGATCGTGAGTCCTGCAGAACGCCGGATCCTTCATGCAAAGTAAGTGCCAGGACTTGTAGAGAACGCAAGCGCCCGATATCAGCGATGCTATGCCCAGTCAGGCACACACCACGGATTACGTCCAGGAGAATTAACTTTGCCAACTTGTTGAGAGGTAGGTCGATGTGGCAAGGCGAATCACTGTAATCGGCAGATATCACCAATTGCCGCAGGCCGGACGCTTCTACCGGAAAGGCATCAACCAATTGCCCTACCTCATGCGCCGGGAGGCCTAACGGTACGGAAAAGGCCAGCATTTCTAATCTGGGCGAGAGGAACTGGCGAAGTAGCAAGAAGTTTGAACTAAACTCCGCAAGATCAAACACTACTTCGAAATCCAATGTGATAAGGTTGGGGAAGAGCGAAGTGGGCGGAAACTGGGCGAAAAGTCGTTGTAGGATGCGGCGATGCGGTGTTGGGGGGCACTTGGAATGGCCAATGAGGTTGCCAACGAGCTTGCGTATCCTTGATGCGTTCATCCTGACGCGCTGCCATTCTGTAGGTAGCGGCTCGCGGGAAAAGTGCTGCAAACGGGAGGATAGTAAGCAGTGTCCTGTCATACGGCAAATACGACTCACAATGAGATTATCATCTCCGACTTTCCAGGTGTCTTGAGGCAGACACATAATGAGGGGTCCCAAGTTCGACTGTGTGCACCAGAGGGTATCGAGGGCGGGAGAAGAGATCGCAGAGCAAGTGCTTGCAAAGTTTATGACGTCTGTCGCTGACGACGTAACATTTTGTAAGATAGCGCGAACGATATCGTCGACTAGTAGAGCGCGATGCATGGTTAACTCGAAAGATGTTGGTGATGCTCGACTGTTTGCACAATCCTTCATATATAACCGCTGTTACAAACATCCACAGACCCACAGGGGTTCTGGCACCATGCTCTGTTCGGGTGGACGATCCACTTTTGGAGTTCATGGGTCTATCGGGAGCAGATACAAACCATTGTTTCACCAGTGGCACAGTCATTGTAAATCATGATGCTTTGGGCTCGTGCATCCACGGGTTCTTGCTGTTTTTGTCTGTGCACAAAACATATTATATCATGTATTTGCTAGATGTGTGGTACTTACTTACCGTGTTGGGGTGCAGCATCGCCGAAAGTACGATGAGTGCATAGAATTAAAACTTGGAAGCGTTACCGTTCACGTGGATTGACTTTAGGAGGGCACCATATATTTACATTGTCCACTCTGCGTTTTGGTCATCCTCGGAACGGAGACAGTCAAAGAATTCTATGGGGCCAGTGCCAGAAGTTATCGACTGTTCTCTATCAATTGTGGCAATTGACTCTCGATCCAAGCAATGGTCAGGGTCCGATAGTTGCTGCGAAACACATAAAATCGATTGTTACTAGTAATCAGCAAGACTTGGTCGAGAGTCGACTCAAGAAATGTGACTTTGATGGGCCGTGACCGATTGTGGATTCAAGTAAGTAGTACTTACTAGTACTTGCTTACTTTCAACACCCTTGTTTCACCCGTGTGTCAAACACGTGATTGTTTGTGATAAGTTGCAGTTTACGAGAAGTGCTGGTGAAATTTTTCGTAGTCAATCATGGCACGGACTCGTTATTCAATACTATAAGAAGGTAGAAATGATTTCCGGGACATCATGGTCTGCCATGATATGGATAGGTGAGCTAAGAACGTTGGCAAATGGGTTGTTGAGGATCTGCTTGGAACGTTCCGAACACATACACCGGGTACGGCCGTTTCGAGTTAGCTTCGAAGTTGGTTTCAATTTCTGGTTTTGACTCTTGCCTCTGAATTACTGTTATCTTGCATCGGCATTCACCTTTCTAATTCTATTCTTTATGGCGAGAAGAAGCAAAATACGCTCGGGCGGCTCTTACAGGTGTTCGTGGCTCAGTCTGGCATTAGTCCCTATGCTAGGTCGGAAAATCATCCAAGTTCAATAGTTGTGACATCACCTCATACCAAGATACGCCATGCACGCAGCCGTCTTTTTCCGAAGAAGATGATATCCAGGCATTGGTCAAAACGCCGTGTCTGCCCGTGTCTTCTCGCCAGCCTACTAGAGACAGCGGTCCAGCTGATTCGGAGGTTCCTCTACGGGCATTGCGATTGGTTACCTTGGACACCTTGGACAACCTTTCAGCGCAACCCTGCTAGTGCAGCAACGCAGCGGAGAATACAAGAAAATCACAGCGGATCACGATATCATTGCACGAGCGATAGACATAGCTTCTATATCCAACATGATGGACATCAGGACATGAGATATTGTAGCTGTAAGGACAGACATCTCCAAAGAGTTTTCTTGTACCCTGACAGTACCTGTATCCACAGATAACCGTACCGATATTGATACTGTTGTATTTCTGCTCATTCGCTTCAAATCTATTCGTGCACGGCCCATGTGGCATCGCAGATAATGATATGGTTCAAGGTTCCCATCGAAGTGTTCGTGCTCCGCAGAATATGCAGGTCATCGACCACGGAGGGGAATACAACCACATTTGAATTATGACTCGTACGTGGATAAGATGCTTACTGCACACTTTCATAGGTGCACAACGCGGAACCGGGAAAATGGTAATAGACGCCGTCACTCCTTCACCCGCCAACAGTGTTACGCTTCAGCGACCAAGACCGCACGGTACCTTACTTCTCCTTTCTCAAGCTTCTCCATCGATTTTTTCTACGCCTGTCCGGGTCAACGGGAATTCCTGGACGATGGGCTTGATGCCGTGAAGCGCTGCGAACCTCAACATCTTGACATGCGTTCCACGCGAAGGACAGATGCTACCCTGGAGCGTAAGGCCATTGTTGACGAGCTGCATGTACGGCAAGGTGAGGGCATCACTAGACACAGTGAGCGGGTAGATCTTGGCGTGCGGCGCGAGTACAGGGAGGTAACTGGAGATTATAACTTGTTAAACGATGAAGTAACATAGTCATAAAACAAGGTACGCACGACTTCCAGTCAGGCTGCTGGGACGATGTGACAAAGAGGTGCTTGATGGGTGCCCCTATCTGCAGCTTCTCCGCGTCCTTCGTCGCGTAGAACTCACTCGCGCCGAGCTGCATCGCTTCTTCCTTCTTGCTATCTGTCCCCGAGAACACCACCACCTGGCAGCCCATCTTCGCAGCGAACTGAATAGCAAGATGTCCGAGGCCGCCAACGCCGATGATGCCTACCCGATCGGTGGGTAACATACCATAGAGGTGCATGGCGTTGAAAACGGTGGCGCCGGCGCACATCAGAGGAGCTGCATCTGAAGAAGAAATTGCATCGGGGATATGAAAGATGAAGTCAGCCTTCCAGATAGCGTGCGAGGCGAATCCGCCTTGGTCTGTATCAGCGTACGCGTACATCGCGCGTTCTGGGCAGAATATTTCGTTTCCACTGAGGCACTCGTCACAGTGCCCGCAGGAGTTGTGCAAGTATCCCCAGCCGGCACGGTCGCCTCTGCTTGCGACATCAATGTCTAACTCTACAGCTTTCGAGGAAAGGTGACTTACTGTTTGAAGGTGGTGACCTGGGAGCCAACCGCTTGCACGACACCGATGCCCTCGTGGCTGAGAACGATGTCAGAAGTTTTATAGTGAAGATCTGTGCCGCAAAGACCGGCGTGGGTGATTTTGAGGAGCACCTCATCAGGCTTGAGACCGTCTCTGTGTGTCGTCGACTGAACAATCTTCCCGCTGGAGGAGCCTTTGAAGACGGTGAAGTCGATACCTGTCATGGTGAATATTTGTTAAATTACGAAAAGCGTTGAATTGAGATGGGCGAGATAAAAGAAAGGAATATGACAGAGACAGTAAGCCAGCGGGGGTCTTTATTTGAGGAGGCTGACGTGATGAGTCATGGTTCTACTGGTATCCAGCTCCAACTCTGAGCGTTAACGGTTTAAGTAGAATATCATTTCATCGAGTACAAGTCCAAGAGCGAGGTAAAGAGCCCAGATTCTATCTTGAGCCGGTTTGCTCAAAAATCAATGAGTATCTGTTGGGAACTTAGCAGAAGCATCAAGTTCAGAGACGCGCGCTGAAGTCACGTGCCCTGAAAGTCAAGTGTATTGATACCCGGCTTACCGGGAGATGAATCAGAATACGCACTGAATCTGATGCATATGCTTTGCTGATGCCTTTCAACAATGATTACTCAGTAACCGCATGGCATATGCACAAGTGGGTGAGCTGTAGAACGTTGGAAAACTGCTTACAAGACAAAGTTTGTCGTTCTGGTTGTTTTTCAGATCCTTCCGATTCCTTCGTACTGCGTCCTCCACCTCGTTCTCCTACCGGCAGCACATTGCCAATTTAGAGCCCACCCTAATCATATCAAACACGCTGCTCAGCTGTTCAAGTATCTAAACAGGCATACTGGATCGCTCATAGCGACGCATGAGTCTGAGGTATGAGCATTTGAACGGCGCGCGCTGTGCACGCTCGATTAGTATCTGACTGTAACACCAATCAATCAATTCCACACTGAACACCAACCAATCCCACCGTACAATCAACCAATCCCACCATCATGATCCCACCCCACCGGCCATCTCCGCCATATACGTCGCCGCCAAACTTCACCAACTGACTTCTTGAATCCCCACATGATGTATAACTTCTGCATCCTTGATTTGCTCCTCGAGAAGCGGAGCATGCGTGGAAGAGTTGAGAAGGAATCGTTAGGAGATCTGGGGGGTTGGTGTCGTTCCCTTGGTGTCGTTATAGCTCATGCACTGGCGAGACATCGATGCTGTCACTGCATAGACGTATGTCGCGTTCCTATCTACATCATTTCCTACCCTACATATGACTTATCAAATGAACAGGTCAACTCCGAAATTTAAATACAATTATAAGCACGCACATCGCAAGCTATATATACAAGTCCGCCACCACCCGACCCAATATTATCCGAAATGGCCCTCATCACCAACTTATTTACACAAGCGTCTCACAATAGAATCCCGCGTGCTCTGATAACCTTCTCCGCACCTGGTCCGTGGGCGTTTCCCTCGTGGTATTACAGAACCGCTGGTATCCTTATGGAATTTC